CTATATAATGGAGAGACACCCCTATATAATGAGGGGGACATCCCTATATAATGGGGAGGACACCTATATCAGAGGCATTGGGGACCCCCAGGCAATGGGGACCCCAGTATAAGCCAGGGGATGGGGTCACTATCTATAATGGGGGGTCCCTATAGAATGGGGAGGATGAGGGCAGCTGTAAAATGGGAAAGTCTGTCTATAGGAGGACCCCCTATAAACCCCCCCCTTATATAACAGGGACTAGGACACCCCATATGATGGAGGGATAAGGACCCCTGTACAGTGGGGACTCCTTTATAACAGGGACATCAGGGGGCCCCTCCTGTGACAGGGGACGGGGACACCCTGGAGAGCAGGGACCCTATAAAATGGGGGGGGTGAGGGTCCCCTCTGCAGTTTGGGCTCCTTTATAAGAAGGGATGGGAAACCCCTATATAATGGGTATCCTGAGAACCCCCCTGTAATGGGGACACCCATAAATTGGAGGAGTGAGGGCCCCCCTGTGCTTAGGAACGGGACTGTCCGTGGTGTCCCCACCTGTCTGAGGGTGACAGGGGGCACGTGGCCCTTCGGCAGCCCGGGGATCGAGGCTACGAGGTTCCCGGTGGCTTTGGGAACGTTGGGACCGGAGCAGGGACCTGCTGGTGGGTTTTTCTCTGACAGGTTGGGCATGAGCCACTACCTCCAACCATTGGAAGAAACGTGCTGGGAAGGAAAGTCCTGTACCTGCCTGGCTTCTTCACCTACGGTGAGCGACTGTCCCTCCCTACCAGCCTGAGGTCCTGCCCAGAAACAGGGCTGGGAGCTGCCAGGTAGACCAAGCTGACCTCCAGCAGCGTCCCCACATCCCTGGCAGCATCCTTGGGGTCATCCTGAGGCTGCAAAGAGACAGAAAACACCACAAAACTAATTGCAAAGGCATCCCCAGTGGTGTCTTTGGGATCATCCTGAGGCTGCAGTGAGATGTAAAACGTTACAACTGGTTGTAAAGCTGTCAGATTTACCCACCTGTTGTTGGGGACGAGGAGAGGGTGGCCCTGGCACTGTGTCCCCTTCCTGTGGCAGGTTGCTCTGGGTTTGCTACAAAACAGCCCTGCAATAACTCATCCCCCCTCCCCTGCTCATTGATGGTGTAGATGGAGCCCTAAAGGGACAGAAATACTCAAAAAAGGGAAGGTAATGTGTTTAAAAGGGGAAAAAAAAATTATAAAGTATGATTTCTCTCTTTTTCTGGGTAGAAGGTGACCTTGGGGGTTGCTTTCGCAGTGGGTTTGCTGTGGGGAAGGGGAGTGCACAATCCTGAGAGTCACAGAATCCCAGACTGGTTTGGGTTGGAAGGGACCTTCAAGCTCATCCAGTCCCAACCCCCCTGCCAGCAGCAGGGACACCTTCCACTAGACCAGGTTGCTCAAAGCCTCATCCAACCTGGCCTTCAACACTTCCAGGGAGGCGCAGCCACAGCTTCTCTGGGCAGCCTGGGACACTGGCTCACCACCCTCACACCAAAGAATTTCTTCCTCATATCTCATTAAACCTCCTCTCTTGGCTCCAAACTGCCTTGTAGCCCTTTCAGGTGAGGAAAACAACCAAAAGATGCAGAGTAGCCCAAAATACTGGAGCTGTTCTTCCAGATTAGACAGACATGACAGGGAATATTTAAGGATTCTTTGCATCCTATATGAAATCTATATAGGACTGTTAAAATGAATCACTTACAGCGAGTCCACAGAGCGGCTGCCGTGCTGTCCTGAGCTCTGATGTGGTTTCAGCTGAACCCTGGAGGTGTTTGGGGTTCTCTCCATGAGTTGGTCAGTTCCTGACGTGACGATAGCCTGATGTTTTCTTCCCCAGCCAGACACATTATGGAAGTGGATGGGAAAAGAGGCCTCTTCCGTGGTCTTACTCCTCGCCTCATCTCAAGCACTTTATCAACCATCACCAGGGGGAGCGTGAAGAAGGTAAAGGTCGGCTTCTCTCTCCATAAATCAGTTTGCTGGATGGGCTGGTGCTACTGCAGCAGAGCTGGGGGGAGCCTGCGTGTGCCTGCACCCAGCCACGACTGCACGTGGAGGAATAAAGCGCCCATCCCTCTCCATCTCCTGAGGGCTTTGAATACAGGGAAGCTCAGAGGACTGAGGCGAGATGCACAGCCTTTGACTTCTAAACTACTGACGTGAATCATGTCTCAGCTGCAAATAATTTTGCAGAGCACTGCATACTTGTGATGGATAACAAAGATAACAGAGGAATATGATCCCTCCAGGAGAACAGTGCCCATATCCCCCAAACTTATTTTCTAAACAATTTTAATTTAATTTGAACAACGACTTGCCTTTTGTAAACAGTTTTGTGACCCCTCTCTTCCCCTATTTTATTTTCCATCCTTCCTTCTCCTCTGTTCCTTCTCGCCTGTTTTTCCTCTCCTGTGCAAACTGCTTTTGATTTCCTCTTGTCCTCAGACATCGAGGGTTTGTGGGTCAGCATCTCCATCAATTTTGACCATATATTTCTTCTCTCTTTGCTCAGGCCTTTCCACTGGAAGACATGGAGCATGTTTCTAACAAGGATGATGTGAAGACCTCCCTTAGGAAAGTAGTGAAGGAGGTGAGGAGTGGATATTGCACAGTGAGTGATCAGGGAGATCATATTGGGGTGGAATGGGTCTGGAGAGCAAAGGAAGCTGAAGCTGTGGGTGAAATTACTTGGAGAGAAGCCCTGGGTGACAACACAGTGGGATTGAGGAGCCATTTTGTGTCCAGCTATGAAATATTTTGTAGGAATAGAGATTTACCATGAACAACAGATTTCAAAAGAGGGACCCAGGATGGGTTTCACTGCACTAAGGGAAAGGGGCTGATCTCTGGGGGTGGAACAGAGCAGCTTTTCATACAGGTGTGGTTTTATCTCCCCTTCCCAGACATCTCACGAGATGATGATGCAGTGTATGTCCCGGGTTGTCTCCCATCCGCTGCATGGTGAGTACTGTCCCTCTCTCTGCCTGGCAGCTCTCTCCAGACTGAGAATTGCCTCAAAACCTCAGTTATTTGATACACTTCATCATAAATGGCTCCGTATGAAACTGCAGATGCAGGTCTGAGTGGTTGCATTGGGAGGCTGATGCTTGGGGTGGCCTTCAGGGACTAACCCAGCTGAGCAGCAAGGTGCTCTCTTCCCATTCATCCAAGGGCTTGTCCTAGAGATCCTGCTGGGGTTAGGGACAAAAATCCTTCCCATCACTTACAGACTAGGGAAGGGCACCAGTTTCTACTGAGTGGATCTCATCAATAGATCTGATCAATGTCTATAAATATCTGACATGTGGGGGCCAAATGGATGGGGCCGGGCTCTTCTCGGTGGTGCCCAGTGACAGGACAAGGGGCAATGGGCACAAACTGGAACACTGAAAGTTCCAGACAAACTGAAGGAAAAACTTCTTCACTGTGAGGGTGCCAGAGCCCTG